TAGGCAGCTCATTTCTCTTTAACCTCAAATGAAGAACTCCATGATAAGGGTGCAAGTGAGTAGCTACAACACGTTTCCAAGACGGCACGTACGGAAGAATAAGAAACTAGGTTTAGATATGAGAAATTTCTTGTAAGAGTGCTTATATTGGGTTTATGATAACAAAATATACTATTAAAAACCTTCTATTATTTCACGGTCAAATATTTTTCAAATCAAAATTTTCATTAAATTCATATGACAATAGTTAATCTATACCTATTATAAAAAAATATATTTTTTTTTTCATGTACATAATTTTTAGACTATATTACATTTAAATTTTTAAATAATAAAAAATAATATTAAAAATTAACTTAATCCAAGATCTTGAGGTTCAAAGACCAAATACAATATCAATTGATTCAACAAATATTAGTTATATATGTATTTTTTGCATAAGACAATCAAATTCAACAAGAAAAGAGAGAGAAGAGATACGTACATTGAGTTATGTGTTATACAAGTAGAATAGGTTCGGCTCAGCACTCCAGTCTAGCTGACTCTATTAGGACTCCTCACATAACTCAAAATGAGTAAATATATATATATAGTTTAGTTTAAAGTCTAGCACAAAGTGAAAGTGGTTAAACCCAGTTGTAGTATTGTTGAACATCGATCGTTAAATGCGAAAGGGAAACGTGGTTTCATCAGAAAATGGAGAAATAGCCACATTAATATTGTTGCACAAAAAAGGGAATACAATGCTTGGAGTACAAGGACTGAGAGTACGTAGGAGGTCTTTTGATAATTTTAACAGTTTGGTATAACATATCGCGGAATCAGGGTATAGGAAAAAGCAGTGTGAATGGAACAACGTATCTACACATTCATGCTGCAACTGAATGATATATAATGTATCAGATGTTTTCTTGCACTAACAAGAAAAGAGACAAGGAGAAGTGTGCTTTCTCTGGTGGTCAAGGAAAGAATATATAGGAAAAATACAATTCAAAGGGATCAAGAACTAAATTAAACTGTTAATAAAAAATAAAAATAATGGAATACAATGTGTATTGGACATTAATATTTAATAGTGTAAAGAATTTTTATATCATTATTTAATCGCACACTAGTTATCATATAAATTAAACTACTACTGTCTATTTAGTAGTAGAGTTGAGATAGTATGTACACATAATTCTAGATTAATTCAAACTTTGTTGTCATTGCTATAATTTTTATATGATTAAAAAAAATATCATATAAATTTATTGACTTTTACAATTAAATTAATATCTTAAAAGATGATTTCTAATTTATTGTTTAAGTAATTTATTTTACAACTTATAAAAATTAAACTAAAAAATCATTACCTTAAGCTCAAATCATATATGTTACTTAATTAATAGGATCGAATTGGTGATGAGGGATAGGTGTAGTATATGCATAATCTTAGCAAAATCTGAATTTTGTCACTATTATAATGAAAAGACTAGCTTATTCTGAGAGTAAAATTGTTTAGATTTACTCCACTTAATAACTCCTGTTTTATATTAATTTGTAAGGATCCAACTGTTAAATTAAAAAATTTTAATGCATAGATCAAGTCTGTTAATTTTAAAAAAATTTGAAAACTATTTAATGTTCTATTTCATTAATTCAAATTGACGGATAATCATAAAAATATTTTATACGTTGATTTGAATTTATATTACGAAGTATTAAATAATTTTCAAATTATTTTTTTAAAATTTGTAAAATATCACTAGTGGAAAAAAGGTTTTTAAAATTGGTATTTTCAATTTTTGAAATTGGTTTCATAACCGATTTTAAAAGTTAACTTTTAAGATCGGTTGTTTTATAACCAATCTTAAAATTCCTGGCTGCGAAAAAAATTAAACTGGAACGGACTGTTCTAGCATAATTTGGCATAAGTTTAACCAATCCAGAACGGACATCAGAACAGCCCGTTCTCCTTGCAGTACGGGCCGTTCTCCCTGAAGAACGGGTCGTTCTTCTTGCAGAACGACCCGTTCTCCTTGCAGAACGGGCCGTTCCAGATTCAAAATTTATCCAAAATGAACCTACAACGAAAATAGAGACAAGAGAAAAGCATGATAAAACGAAAAGAGACACAAGAAGAATATGAGAAGACGAAAACAAAAATGAAAACGATAACGAAATTTATCTTATTGGAGACTTTAGAAAATGTGAGCGCGAGAGAGTAAAAGAAGGAATGGAAGAAAAGATTAAAGAGAATGGAATGGAGGAAAATATAAAAGGTTTTCTGACGATACTTTTAAAATCGGTTATTAGTATACAAAATCGGTTCTGAAATAACCGATTTTAAAAGTAGCACTTTTAAAATCGGTCATAAAATAACTAATCTTAAAAGCACTTTTAAGATCGGTTAAATTTTAACCGATCTTAAAAGTGTTCATATTATTTACAAAATTGTCCCGCATCACTTTTAAGATCGGTTACCTTGTAATCGATCTATGTATTAAGACTTTTTAATTTAACGGTTAGATCATTGAAATTTAATATAGAACATGAATTATTGATTAGAGTAAGTTTAAATAAACTTTCTCTTGAAATAAGTGGATTCCTCCTCCATTATAATTCTTATAGATAAAAAAAAAAAATTAATATGTTACTTATAATATGGTTATAAGTTTCTTGTTCTATAAACAACCATTTCTTGTGGTTGTTGAAAGTAATCATAAGAATTAGTGGCATTGTATTACTACTAAGAATGCTTCAAACTAATTATTTAGGTGTTAAAGCATCAAAATCACACCATTATTCGGGATAAGGAAACTCAGATTTGTAATAATTAATTAATTAATGTTATATATTTAATGAATAATTTAGCTAGCTCTTTAGAAAAATATGTGCAAAATATAAACTAAAGGTAAAATGAAAACACAGGTTATGTTATTTAGAAAATGTTGATGTGCTAATATAGTAATTTTCTTCTTCTTTTTTTTTTTCCTTTTTCGCACCAGTGTTTTAAGAATTCTCTTTAAACTATTCTAATTCCTGATTAAGAATTGTTTTTTCAAAGATCGTTAATATAGCATTTTAAATAGTCTTAAAATATAAAATAAAATAAAAAATTAACTTGTTACTTCTATTTAAGTCACTTTTAATCAAAATAAGTTTAATGTTATATTTAATCAAAATTAAACTCAGCCAAACATTATTTAATTTATGTTTAATACATCATATCATATGATCCCCGAACTTTTATCAAATTTTTAATTAGATCTTTAAACAAAAAAATAAATTAAATTAACTAGGTCTTTCATTTTTATTTTTTTTTTTATATTTTTGTAATTTAGTTTAGAAATTTACTTATAAGATGTGAAATTCCACTAAATATTTTTAAGGCAAAATTATAATTTTTTTCCTTTATCTTATTTGTTAGATTCATTTTTGTCCTTTATCTTTTAAAATATTTATTATGGTTTTTTATCTCTTAAATTTGGACTAATTTGATCCTTTTGAAACAATGATTGTTTTTAATTTTGAGACATAACTTTGGACTATTTTTTGACTGATTCAAAACTTAAAATCCATCTCATTAGATTCATTTATATAAAAATTGTTAAATGCAACTAAAGTTCAAATAAAAAAGTATTACAGACTTGATAAAAATTACATAAAAAATTAGTCTAAAAGATAATTAAAATTTCAAAAATTATAATTTCATATTATTTTCTAGTTTCTTATTAAACATATTTTTACACGATTTTTTATTATGTTATAACTCTTATAAATTCAAACGTTAATTAAATTTAATAGTTTTTATATAATTGAATCTATTGATACAAGTTTTACGTCTCAAAATCAGTCAAAAATTGATTCAAAATTGAATTATAAAATTAAAAACTATTGTTGTTTTAAAAAGGATCAATTCATATATGGGACACATCTCCCTTGACTACCATGAAGGACCAACTTTAGGGCACCCTTTTAAAGCCACTAGCAGCAGCCAAATTTCAAGATCTAACGGTCCAGATTAAAGTTACTGGTGACAACTTTATCTTGAAGGAGCGTATTAGATAATATTCAGTTATATTATAGATATTTCAATGTATTTGAAATATATTGTTTTCATCTAGAAGCAAGTTTTTACTCAACTGCATGCACACTCTTAGGTGCGTGCATCTAAAATATTGTTGTTAGCACTTTTGTTGGATCTGTTTAACTTGAATTCAAATACTAGGAATCTGTTGTCCTATACATGTACTGCCGTTATTCATCAATGAATTCATTCCCGATTTAACCCAAAGTCCTGCAAGGAATATTTTGGCAAATGATATAATTATGGTTAATCAGAATCAAAATGTTTCCTTGACCAAATTAGAGAACTAGTTAGGGGTATCATAATTTAGTCAGTATACTCCAATAAATTCTTAATTGACCTGACAATAACATTGGATGTGCAAATCCACAATATTTTGTTTGAGGGTTTCCTGATATCATCTTGCAATGTAAAATGTTTAGACTTTAGAGGTTGGAAGTTTTTGAAGTTTGGAAAATTTGCTAGAAAGGCCGAGGAATCTGACGCCAAACATATGGATCGATGTCCAATCAAATGTTATAATTAAGTAAACATTCTCTCTCCGGTTCTTTTTATAAAGTCAAAATCAAAATCAAAGTGTTGTTTGATTTTTTACAAAAATATTGATTATCCTTTTACAAGAAAAATCCCTAACCTTAATTAGAGTCTTTTATCTTAGTTCAATAAATAGTTGGTAAAGGAAAAGTCTCAATATTAAGATTAACCAACTTTATTAATCCTAATAAATTAGGTAATCGAGTCTTATAATTAAGATAAAAAGTATAAAATGTCTTAAAGAAGAAAGTTTTCCCCTCTTTTTAGTTGAAAAAGAAACAGAAGAGAGTAACCATTCCATAAAATTTGTTAGGAGCAAAGCCTCTGTCAAATTATCTTCTCTTAGCTTAGGTGCTTGGGTGAAAAACTGACCTGAAAACATGAAAAGCATAGAAATCCCAAGTGAAACACATCACAAACAGTAAACAAATAATAAGAAACTGAACAAAACAGAGAAAACCAATTCAATAATTGTCACGTGTGAAGAAGACCTTGCATTATGTAAATAGATCAAAAATATTTAAACAGCAAAATGGACACACAACACATTATAAAAAAGATGTTAAAAAATGCAGCACCACTTTTCTCCCCCCTACTGCATGGAGTACTGCTCCCACTATAACACCCTTTTTTTTGCTGAATTCCTGCACCACGATTTTCAAGCACAAATGTGGAGTTTGTCTGTCCATTGCTAAACAAAACACACCAAAAGAAAGGCCCCTTGTGGAGTCCAACCAAGCCAATCCCCACCTCAGTATGTGATTTGTTTCTCAGAAGGGACAAAGATTTCTTATCTGTGATGAGAACTTGTGAAAATGCCACTGATGGCTCCACATACTCTCTTTGACAGCCTACAATGTGTCCAGTTATGGTGCCAAAAGTCGGTAGCTCCACACCGCAGTTGGGAGCAAACACTTCAGTGAAGTCATCTTCAGGAGGCTTGCAGTTTGCAACATTGTTGTCAGAGCAGTTCCCTTTGCATAATTCCACATATTGTAAGGCCATGCACCCTAGGCCAGGGCTGTCATTCAAGTGTGGAAGCTTTTGGTCTGTTCGGTTCTTGTTTATAATGTCAACTATGTCACTGGCAGGGTTTCCTGAGAGGAAAAAAAACAGCTGATTTCAGAGATATATTGTAAATGTGCTTGCAGATACATGTATATGCATGGAGATTGTGATGAGAGCATGATTGCCTTTAACTGATTGATTCCTCATATATGTTTTTTTGGTCTTTTCATGGGTATCTTCTAGTTCACTGGACCGAAGTCTAATCCCACTTTGTAGTATTGTGACTATTGTTGGTCTGAAAGGTTATTGCACACAGCAGAATTTGAGATTTGCACTAAATTAAGAATACATTATAGAACCTGATTTTGTAAGCACTACTAAATAAAATGAACCGTTGATAAAATGATGCTTAGCAGATACATGTCCTTGTCAAAGTAAACCTTCTTAGTGAAATTGTCTTCTACCAACTGACCTACTTGTAATCCTGAGTAAGGTAGATATAAACACCATAGTTCTACTAATAACCATAGATGGATATATGCTTTTCAGTAGAAGTGAATCCTCTAGTGCAAAACATTTCTAATCAGCCTAACAGACAAAAAGATATATGTGGCCTATTGGATTTACTAAAGGATTTGCTGGCCTAAATTGAATGTTATTGTCAGTATAATGACAACATACAATGGCATTTAAAATGATTGTTAAAAATAATCTATAATCTATATTATTGCCTAATGATTATCATAAGTTTACAGGTTGCAAACAAAAGCAAACACATTCGCAATATGGACCTGTTTGGACAGACCTCCTCATAAGCACTTCTAGGAGAGAAAAATTGGAAAAAAAAATAAATAAATAAATTAGCTTTTCTACAATCTGAAATTAACTTATGTATAAGCTAATTTGTAGAAGCTCTATGCTATTAGCTTCTCCAAAATCTTATTTTTAACACATACATAAGCTAGTTTTAATTTATGAAAAAACTTATTTAAATTTTCCTCTCTCCTAGAGGTGCTTCTAGAGAAACTTATCCAAACATGCACTATATCTCAAATACTTCAATATACTACATTGTCTTCCAGCTCATGTCTGGTATTAGAGAAAAATTCTTTAGATGATGTAAGAACACAGTAATTACTGTAGGAGCTATTATACCTTTACAAGGTAGTAATCAATTTACATTTCCATATATATAACATTTCTAATTATTTAAAGTATTTTTTAATCCTTAACTTAATTGTAGAAGGAGTGCGGCCAACATCCTAGTTTATATCATAAAGCTGCCAAGCCTACCTATATATTTCAGCAATTAATACATAGTTGGGAGTCGTCTTGTGGGTCTGATCTCTTGAGAATACCAGTTCTTCTAGTAAACAAGTTCAGAAAGCAACAGCATACTAGAATAAATATCAAATATTCCGAATCGAAACATCATCTTTTGTAACTTTTCCCATCACTTCCATGCCATATATTCAGCCTGCATTATAAGTCTAAATTTAACATCTGCACTCTTATAAGATAATCCCCAAAACCTGTATTATGTTCACATTTTTCACTAAATTTATTGCACAAAATAAGTCATGGCAAGAACATAATTATTTTACTAAATTTCAACTTATAGAGATGATCAGAGCAAACCCAGTTATTCCAACCAATTATTGTAATATAAAACTCAAACTATTTTAATGTGTTAGGGTGTACCAATGGAAGTTCCTCACATATATGTTAACATTGATTGATATTGTCCACTTTGGACCTAAGTATTCATGGTTTGCTTTTGGTAATCTCCCAAATGGTTTCCTACCAATAGAGCATGTGTGTACTTTATAAACCCATGGTTCTCCTTCTTTCCAAATGATATGGAACTTTGATTGCAGTTTTTAACAATCTTCTGCTCAAACAAAAGACCATAGTTAATCTCTCCTTCAGCCCCCCTACTTTTCCACCATTAATTCAAGGCAATGGGACATGATCCTAACCTTCATGTTCCCAGAAGACCTCCACCTCCATATATGAACCCACTGTCAAAAGCCACCAAATTTGGCGTACTTGTTCAAGCTGAGCCGATTCTCCATCGGCCCTATCATCGCTTCTTCGTTGTGCACTAGGACTCACACATCTGTATAGACGGCACCTCTTGTTAGGGTGCACTAAGGGGAGTATTCCACACACATATCTACATTGGTATGATATTATCCACTTTAGACCTAAGTCTCAGTTTCATTTTTGATTATCTCCCAAAAGGCATCATACCAATAAATCATGTGTGTACTTTATAAATTCATGGTTCTACTTTTTTTAAATGATGTGAGACTTTGATTGCACTTTTTAACATAATGTTTGACTGTGATTCCGATGAAGACAAACTATAAATTATTTTGAAACAAACCTTCCTTGCTGAGTTTTTCAAAAAAACAAAGTAATCTCAGAGCAACTGAAAGAAAGGTAAAAGGCACAACATCTAAGTTGCACTCCATGGCACATCATCTACCAGATCAAATTATCATGTCCTTTAAAAATTCAATGGAATATAACTTATGGAAACCAAACCACTGTAGAAGCTACCATCAAATGTTGGGATAGCCATCTAATGTTCTTCTTCCTTTAAAATTTGAAAGTAAACAAGAAGGATGCAGATCTTGGCAATATAAACTATAAAATACTACTTCTGGAGACATCTTGTGAAGGAAGATACTAAGATAATTGATATTATTTGTAATTATAAATATACATAAAGCTATGTAATCTATTAAGTCACGTGACAATTATTATCTGAGGATTAATTTCCTACTCGTTTCACCGAAGACCCTCTAGCTTCTAATAATAATGAATAAAGATATATAAAAGAAATCAATGTCACATTTAACCTACACATTTGAACACTCTACAAGTTCAACAATTGGTCGTGCAACATGCAGCAATAGGATTTGTTCCTCAAGATCAGAGAAGTCAAAGAGTAAATCATAATAATTGAAAAAAATTCGGATTTAACCGATTAAAAGGCATTGAATTCAGAGTTCAGCCTCAATATAGCATTCAAAACATAGATAAGGTTAGGACCACAATAAGGTGGAATAAGTTGGGCTAGGGAGGCTTTATAAGGTTTGAGCCTAACTTATTCAACAAGGCCAATTTTTTTAAGGCCTGAATTGGCCTTTCAAAAGTCTAACATGCCCTAAAAGTATATTTAAAAGTATACATTCTGGTAATGTCTTTAAATAGGTAAAAAATAAAAAATAAAAATAAAAACACCTCTAAATAAGCCAAGCCTAAAATATTATATAGGTCAATACTCGTAAGCCTTTAAAACAGACCTATAAGTATATAATTTAAAAAATTATATTAAAATTTAATATAATAATTATTATTATTTTGTTTATATTTATTTAAATAGGTCAGTTTCTCAAGCTTAAAAGTTTTTTGAATAACCTGAAGATATGTTAGGTTTTGGGAAGAAAGTGAAATGATTGTGCAGATTGTTTGGTAGAAAAAGAAAATAAAAGTAAAGAATGTTAAAACTTTAGTTTCCTCTTATTTAGTTTTATAGAAAGTAAGGGAAAGAAAGAAATATGCATATAAAATGATATAAATATTTCAAAAAAAAAAAATTAATAACAAGGGTAGTATGATATTTTTATTTCATAAAACCAACTGTCTTTTCCCATCTCCATTTTGGACGGATCATAAATTCTATCAGTCTCACATCCTTTTCTAATTATTCCTTCTCTCTTGAAACGAAACAAAACAACAGAAGGAACAAAATTGCTGCATTTTTTCATCTTCCCTTGTCATTCATTCGTTTAAAAGTTAAAACAGGACCGGTGTTTGAACCTTTTCAACTAAACAGACTTCTAGAGAAATCATGACATAATTTATTTATTAAATTAGCTTAGCCTAGCTTGGGCTTAACTAGGTAATGCCATAAACATCCACCAAGTAATTTTATCTATTTTCACTTCTAGGGTCTGTTTGAGTAATTTTTTCAGAAACACAAGATAGAAAAATAGAAAGGAAATAACTTCTTCTATAAGCTAGAATTAGGTTTGTTGACCACTCTTTTCCCACCTAAACGTGACGATGGAAATAGTATTATCAATACCTAGTACAAAACAACAGAAGGAACAAATTTGCTGCATTTTTTCATCTTCCCTTGTCATTCCTTCGTTTAAAAGTTAAAACAGGACCGGTGTTTGAACCTTTTTAACTAAACAGACTTCTAGAGAAATCATGACATGATTTATTTATTAAATTGGCTTAGCCTAGCTTGGGCTTAACTGGGTAATGCCATAAACATCCACCAAGTAATTTTATCTATTTTCACTTCTAGGGTCTGTTTGAGTAATTTTTTCAGAAACACAAGATAGAAAAATAGAAAGGAAATAACTTTTTCTATAAGCTAGAATTAGTTTATATTTAAGTTAAAAGTTAAATTTTAGAAAAATTAGTAAGAGAAAATTTTTCTAAATTAACTTATGCATAAGCCAAATTTAATTTAAGAAGAAACTTATTTCATTTTCTTTCTTTTTATTTTTCTCTCCTATAAATTAACCCAAACAAACTTCTAACATTATCAAAGTTGTTGGAAGTGAAAGAACAATTTCTTGCTAAAACTAATTGAAAGAAATAACTGCCAGAAGCCTATAACTGCGTTATAAGTGTCCCAAGTATCTTAGCAGAAGCAAACATTTAAGCAGTACAAGTCCGTTCGAAAAATAGCAACTCAGAATGACCAGCAGGAAGCCTTTATTGAAACATCTCATGAAAGAAATGTGACACAAGGGAATCAGAGATCCAGAACAAGATGGAAAAATTCAAAGCCTTAAAGCAAAACCAATTTTGAACTTAAATTTTGGAGCTTTTGCAATACCCATTATACCAACCATCTCACAAAAGTACATTAACTCCAGAGACAAGCATAAACAAATAAACGGCAACATGACACAATGCTCACAAGCACTTGAAAATGTCACATGAAAACATAAAAAGTAAGAAAAACCATGAGAAAAAGAATGTAACTTTACTTACCATGGACGTGGTGGGAGAGAACAAGAGCTGGAAAAAGGAGAAAACAACAACAACAACAACAACAAAAGAAGTGCAACACACTGCAACTGAGGTTGTTCTTCATGATATGCTATGTTGAGCTGAAACAAAAATATGGTTGCTTTAGCAGTGAAGTGGGAAAAGGTTAGTGGAGAAAAGGGGTACACAAGTTGAAGAGAAAAACAAAAGGTTGATGAATCACCGTAGATGCATAAGATAGGGAAGAAAGGGGTAATTGGTGATGGGTATGCACTACAAAGGGGACACAAAAGGACTCTGGTGGTCCCATGTAGCCGTTATCTCCTCTGTCATTGTATATTTTTTTCCTTTAAAATGCTATTGAATTTCAACAAATGTAATTTAGTGGGCCCCATTTTTCCTAGATTATTGTGATTATGGAGACAATCATTTTTAGTTATTTTTCAATTCTTTTAAAAATTATATTATTGATACAAAAGTTCCACTTATATTAAAAAAGAGTAAAATTTGTATTTGATTAATAAAATAAAATTAAGTAAAAAATAAAAATAAATTACTATTTTAAAATCATATTTTTATGTAAAAATATAAATAACTTATAAAAGTACCATTTTATCCTTATATGTATTCACATGTGTTGTTATGATTTTAATGCAGAAAATGCTTTATAATTATAATATATTAGAAGGTGGTAAAGAATTCATGGTTGAATAGAAATTTTCTGGTATCTATAATATCAACATAATACAATATCAACTACGATTAGGGAATATCAGAAGTTACATAATGGAATAATAACTAAAATAAAAGAATATTAAAAGTTACATAATGGAATATGTGTAATCAGTTATGATTCAATTGAGTTAGAATGATGTATATAATAGACTGTGTATATCCTAATTGGTTATGGTTAAAAGTAGTCCAAATAGTAATATGATTTTAACACCATCAAAGTCATAAAACAAAAGGAAAAGACAAAAGAGTAGTATTATCTTTTGATCAAAATCCATCCCAATTCTCTCATTTTTTAAGGTAATTTTTTTTTATCGCGTGGGACTCACTATTTTTCTCGAAATTCTCCTCAATTGTAGCCTCTTAAGCAAAGTTTTTTTTATAATTACTCTTCAATACACCCTTTTTCTCTCAAATAAACTCTAATTCATCTCTATCAAGCAAAAGGTAAATGTATTTGAAAGATAGGATAATTGCTCATTTAAGTTATTTTTTAAATATATATATATATATATATATATATATATATATATATATTTAAAAAAGTTTAAATTTGAAAAAAAAAAGCTTAAATTTGTATACAATTTTTTTCTTAAAAAAATAAGTTATTTTATGAAGTTGAAAATTTGAAAATTATAATTATTTTTGAATTTTTTTTCTTTTAAACTGATTTACTATGAAAAAATAAATTTTATTTTATTGTATTCAAATAAACTTAAACATCTTAAAATCACTTATCAACAAATATACCATAACAAAATTTTATTTTGATATTAATCGATTACAACAATAATTGATTGTTTATATAATTAATTATTGAAATAATATAATTTTCACAACTTTCTCAAATGTACTCTTTGTTGATCATTGTGGTAGAGAAACCAAGGATCAAAGTAATGTTTTATAATGAATCTCCACCTAACTAACCCAACACATCTTAGAAGTTATAAGTGATCTTTTTAAACCTAGCAACACTCTCGATAGATGATCTATAAGGGTCTCACATGACACTTGTGAAGGTGTTTATATATGTTTATCTTGTCTACCTTTTCATCTATACTCCTTACTCCAACGTAATTACTTTTGATGGAGGACTATCCATGAAGATCATAGGCCTATACTATTTTTGATTATTGAGTATTCTTCCTCTCCTAGTACTTGATCTTTCTATTTGTATATATCTTAGTATAGGATTGCTTTTATTGTTTAGATATATGTATAGGTTGTTTTAGACTTGTATTTTGGTTTAAATAGTATAGGCTGCCCTTAGTTTGTAGGATATGTCCTTATTTTAAGGACATAGTTCTTTGTGACCTTTCCTTTGTTTTCTTTGGCCTTATATTTTGGCCAAATAGAGTAGGAAGTTTAACTCTTGTATTGTTTTCACTTGAGGGTGTAATTAGTATTTTAAGAGAGGTGTAACTAGTAAAAGTTCATTGTGTGTCTTGTTGGGCTTCCTTGGCCCATATTTACTTGGAAGGATGGTGTGGTTTGGTTTATGCTATCTTTA